AGCGATTAACCCGCACTGTAGCGCTGAAAAAAAATTGATACCTTCAATTAAGTAAAATAATTTTATAAAAATAGTTATTTTGTAAAATTATTTATTGTCATAAAGTTTAAGATAATATAGTGCATCTTTTTTGGGCTGAATTTTGAAAAATGAGTTGGTCCATATATGAAGTCATTTTTAATTTTTTAGGCTGAATTATAAAAAATGAATTAATCTGTATATGATGTCATTTTTAGCAGGAAAAGAAAACTTATGGTATCACCTAAAACATATATGTATGTTCTAATATTTTTTTTTTTTCATATTCACATAATGATGATTACATTCTCTCGTAAATTTCATTTCCATATATGCATTTTTTCGTAGATTAGAATTTTTTGTCCCAAAACAATTTTGGCTAAGGTTACTATTATTAAAGACCTGCATTTTTGGTCTACTAAATTTTCTATGGCCCAGTCAATTAATGTATAAGGTTTAGTTATATAATATCTTACAAATAAATGATAATTGTTGGGGTCGGTTTCACCCCAAGCAGATAAAACCATCTAAAAAATGACTAAGTATTGGAGAAAACCGATTTGGCCGAGCTGCCCACCAAATATGGGCCGAGCTGTCCCACAAAACAAGTAGGCCGAGCTGTGCTCACCAAGACGAGTGGACCGAGCCGTGGAGAAGGATAGATGGGCCGAGCCGTGAGAAGAACGAAGAGTGGACCGAGCTGCGCGAGAGGAAGCATGGGCCGAGCCGCTTTCCTTTGTGTTGGGCCGAGCCGGTTTTTCCAGACGGGCCGAGCCGAAGTCTCGAAAGGCGAAAAACCCTAGCCAAGGCATTGTGACGGTGGCCGCACGAAGTGATAAGGAAATATTCCGAAAATCTCTCCCGAGATTCTCGGCTAGGCGGTTTAGAAAGTTAGTATAAATAGACAATATATGCAATTCATTCTGTAACTTTTCACAACTCGAGAGCAATAAGACCTAAACACTTTCACAGCAAACAAAACCTTCTTTTGATCTTACTGTTCTTGCGATTACCCTAGAAATTTCGGATCCCTTACTTTTTCCTTACAAAATTTTTGGTTGTGCGAGTTTTGGCTCACACAATTTGGCGCCGTCTGTGGGGAATCGAAACTTTCTTACTCTAAATCTACAAGACTTTAAGATCCGAAGAACATGGCGAGCAACACCCTCGACGACAACAACAACAACGATAACGGCGCGGAGAAGGACGCTCCAGCATCAGACACAACGACGGCGACGACCGAAACCCAAGAGAGATGCGATACATGATGGCTGCGTTGATGAAGAAAATCGACGAGCAAGACAAAAGAAACGAGGCGATTACGGAGAGGCTCGACGCGATGGCGGCTGAGTGATAACACCCAACTTGGAGAGCCGGAATTACCGACCCGATGGATGGAATCCGGAGACGCTTCGACTTCTCAACACCTGCAGAGGCCTCAGGGAGCGGCGCGAGAAACCCCTTGGCTCCACCCATGTTTCGTCCCCTCGGCGAACAGACTCCCGCGGCAACCCGAGTTAACATGACTGAGCCGCCTCCACTCCGTCGGAACTCAAGGCGATGAGCCGGCGAAGAGAAGAATGACGCGATTGACGTGGAGGCCCAGCAGAACGATGGAACCACGAACTCGCAACAAAACGGCTCGGCTCGGCGAATAAGCCAAGAAGAGCTCGCCTCGGCACTAAACGGCGTCCGGACTGACGAAATCACCGATCCGGCTCGCGGCAACAACCCGACGGAAGAAGAAGAAAACCTCCAATGGATTGAGTAGGCGGAGCGCGAAGACGAGCCGAGGAGAGAAGTGCGGGAGCGACTCCCCCAATCAAAGGGAATGACTCACGCGCAAACCCTCGAAATCAAAGAGTTGCGAGCCTCAATGGCTCGGACAGTAGCTGAGATACGCGCCATGAAGTCTCAAGTGCACAACGCGACGAGTGCTATGCCCGAAATCGATCGGATGCTTTAAGAAACCCAGAGAACACCATTCACGGCGAGAATCACGGAGGCTAGGATTCCCGAGCCCGGGAAGGTGAGGATCCCGTTTTACGAAGGAACGACCGATCCGAAAGCGCACATCACAGCGTTTTGGATAGCAATGGGACGAGCTTTCACAAAGAACGCTGCCAAACTGACCGAGCGGGAAGTAGATGCCGGATATTGTTTACTCTTCGTGGAACATCTCAAGGGAGCCACGCTCGAGTGGTTTTCAAGGCAGGAGCGCAATTCAATCGGCAGTTTCCAACAGCTCTCCGCCTTGTTCCTTAACAATACTCGATGTTTATGGACAGAGGAACTTCTGATGCCGACCTGTGGACGCTATCCCAAGGACCGAATGAACCGCTTCGGGATTACATGGCAAGGTTCAAGGCAGTCGTATCCAAAATAGAAGGAATAAGCGACAAAGCTGCACTCGAAGCTCTGAAACGGTCTTTATGGTACAAATCCGAATTCCGACGGGAAATGGCACTCAACACACCACAAACGATTCAAGATGCCTTGCATCGGTCATCAGACTTCGTCGTAAACGAGGAAGAAATGAAGAATCTGGACAAGCAGTACGAAGCAACAAAAGCAGCAATCCGAAGCTCGATTTTGACGCACCATTTGAAGAAAGGCAATCCATCAAACAACGCAACAACGCAGAGCTCGGACGAACCTAGAAGCGGAGATGCCCACAACTACCAAGTAGGCACTGGACACGGAAGAGGAGAGCCGCGCAACAACACTTGGGTAAGAAAACCCACCAACTACGACGAAAAGGCATTCTGCGAGTATCACCAGACCTACGGGCATTCAACGGCACAATGCCGAACTCTAGGAGCAAAACTCGCGGCTAAGATGGCGGCAGGAGAGCTCCAGAACGCGGTTAACCTCAAAGACCTCGTCCCTAATGAACCAAAAGAAGGAGCCGAGCCGAGCGGCGCGGCAGAACCCGCAAATCCTCCCCGACGAGGCGATAACTCCAAGCGCGATAGGAGAGGCGAACCCGAAGAGCGACCAGGATCAACATGATCATGGGTGGATCTCAATATTACCAAGACACGGTGTCCTCCATCAAAGCTTATCAGCGTCGAGCCAAAGCGAAGGAAAATTGGACAGAACCGACCGACCTCCCGAACACAGTGATCTCTTTCGCCGCAGAGGAAACGGCAGGAATCGATAGACCACACAACAATCCACTGGTGATCGAATTGACAATCAGGGATCACGATGTAGCGATGGTGCTCATCGATACTGGGAGCTCGGTAGACGTTATTTTCAGGGAAACGCTCAGAAGGATGGGAATCGATCTCTCCGAGGTGACGGCGATCCCCAAACCTCTAACCGGATTTTCAGGAGAAATAACGATGACTATGGGAACAATTAGGCTCCTTGTGGTAGCTGGCGGAGTCACTAGGATCGTCGAATTCTGCGTCACCAATCACCCAACGATCTACAATGCGATTATGGGTACTCCATGGATCAACGCGATGAGGGCGGTCCCTTCCACCTATCACCTCTGCCTCAAATTCCCGACTCCAGGAGGCATCAAAACGATCTGGGGAAGTCAGAAGGAGTCGCGAATGTGCTGCCTTGCGGAGCATAAGCTGAGGAGCCCTGTCACCGACGCACGAGCAGACATAGATTGCAAAAAGATGAAGACGGATCGAGAGCCTGCGAACGAGCTCTCGAAACTCTTATAGCAATTACAGATCGCGGAGAGCCGCGAAACGCGCACCGAGCCGGTATGTGACGCAGTGGACTCGGTGTGCATAGACGAAGCACGTCCAGAACGATGCGTCGAAATCGGAGCAAAATTAGAAGAGCCTCTAAGAAGCAAACTTCTTTCCCTCCTCAAATAAAACATCAACACTTTCGCCTGGACAGCAGAAGATAAGCCGGGCATAAGCATCGACGTAACCTGTCATGAGCTGAACGTGGACCCAACTTTAAAACCACATCGACCGGCTCGTCGAAGCCACTGCGGGAAATAGGCTGTTAACATTTATGGACGCATTCTCCAGCTACAACCAAATCCTGATGTATCCTGATGATCGAGAAAAAACGGCATTCATAACTGATCGCGGGATATACTGCTACAAAATCATGCCGTTCGGGCTCAAGAACGCAGGAACAACATATCAACGGCTCGTCAATAAAATGTTCGCGGCTCAGCTCGGAAAAACCATGGAGGTATACATCGATGATATGTTAGTCAAATCACTCGAAGAAAAAGACCATATCGCGCATCTACGAGAATGCTTCGAGCAGTTGAACAAACATGACATGAAGCTAAACCCGGCAAAGTGCAGATTCGCGGTCACCTCGAGAGAGTTTCTCGGCTATCTGGTAACTCACCAAGGCATTGAAGCGAATCCCAAGCAGATCAAAGCATTGATCGAGATGCCCTCTCCAATGACGAAGCGAGAAGTGCAAAGACTCACAGGAAGGGTTGCTGCGCTAAACAGGTTCATTTCCTGTTCCACCGACAAGTGCCTGCCTTTCTACGACACCCTTCGGGGAAATAAGAAATTCGAGTGGGACGATCGATGCGAAGCAGCTTTCCATGAATTGAATAATTATCTGGCAAGCCCACCGATCTTGGCGATACCAGTTGAAGGAGAACCTCTCTTCCTCACATCGCTGTATCTGCTACAGCTGTGAGTGGGGTGCTTATAAGAGAAGAGCGATCCGAACAAAAACCCATTTTCTAAACCCGTTACCCCCAGATCGAGAAAGTCTCCCTAGCCGTCGTAGTCTCGGCTCGCAAGCTGCGTTCGTATTTTCAATCACATTCAATTGTTGTGCTCGCTACACTTCTGCTGCGCTCTATCCTGCATAGCCCGAGCCAATCCGGGCGGCTCGCCAAATGGGCCATAGAGTTGAGCGAGTACGACATCGAGTATCGGAACAAGTCGTCTGCAAAATCATAGGTGCTCGCAGATTTTCTCATCGAACTTCCGGACGAAGCGACGAACGAGCCAACCCTAGACGAAGTATGGATGCTGCACGTCGACGGCTCGTCGTCTAAACACGGCTCAGGAATAGGCATCCGTCTCACCTCTCCCACAGGAGAAATATTGGAGCAGTCTTTTCGCCTGAACTTCCACGCCTCGAACAACGAAGCAGAATACGAAGCGCTGATCGCCGGCATACGACTAGCGCAGGGAATCGGAGTTCGAAAGATAAGAACCTTTTACGATTTACAGCTCGTAGCATGTCAATTCAACGGAGAATACGAGGCGAAGGACGGACGAATGGGATCTTACCTCAAGGTGTTCCGAGAGTTGGTGCAAAAGTTCGACGACTTCGAGCTCACACGAATACCCCGGGGTGAAAACACCTCGGCCGACACCTTGGCAGCACTCGCTTTGACTTCAGACCCGGATCTTCGACGGACAATTCCAGTCGAATTCATCGAACGTCCTAGCATCGAAGAGGTAGAAGGAGTTCGGCTGATAAATCCTCCCAAACAAGAACCAGAGAGCGACGAAGTGATCGCTATGGATGAAGACGCCTCAACAGCCGAGCTGGAGTACGGCTGCGACAAAGAATGGCTCGGAGCCATCCGAGTATATATTGCCGATGGAGAAGTACCAACCGATAAGTGGGAAGCTCGCAAATTAAAAGCTCAGGCCGCACGGTATGTCCTCGTCGACGGCGAGGTGTTTAAATGGAGATTTTCAGGACCACTCATGACATGCATCGAAAGACCGGAAGCCAGAAAGATCATGCACGAAGTACACAGCGGCGCGTGCGGAAACCATTTTAGCGGAAGGTCACTCGCGATCAAGATAAAACAGCACGGTTACTTCTGGCGTACAATGGTCAAGGACTGCAAGAAGTTTACGGCAAAGTGCGAGAAGTGTCAGCGGCACGCGCCAACAATTCATCAACCTACCGAGCTATTGTCATCGATCTCATCACCCTATCCTTTCATGAGATGGTCGATGGACATAGTCGGACCTCTACATCGGTCGAAGCAGAAGCGCTTTCTGCTAGTCCTCACGGATTATTTTTCTAAGTAGGTCGAGGCCGATTCTTACGCAAGCATAAAGGATGCTCAAGTCGAACACTTCATCTGGAAAAACATCATCTACAGACACGGGGTCCTCTACGAGATAGTCACCGATAACGGATCCCAATTCATCTCAACGCGTTTTGAAGCTTTCTGCGAGAAATGGAAAATCCGCTTGAGCAAATCCACGCCAAGATATCCTCAAGGGAACAGACAAGCCGAAGCAGCCAACAAGACGATCCTAGACGGTCTGAAAAAGAGGCTCGACGCCAAGAAAGGACGATGGGCAGATGAGCTCGAAGGAGTCCTTTGGTCGCATCGGACAACTCCACGCCGAGCCACCGGAGAAACTCCATTCGCTCTAGTCTATGGAGCGGAATGCGTAATCCCCCCTAGGTGGATTTCCCAGGTATTCGACGAAGACTTCTGCCGGGACAAGAGGGCTTGAATCACTTAATGATGCTGGACGAACTAGATTTGGTAAACGAAATGCGCGACCAGGCTCTAATCCGAATTCAGAACTACCAACAAGCAACGGCGAGATACTACAACAAAAATGTTCGTAGTCGAAGATTCAAAGAAGGAGAGCTCGTCCTTCGAAAGGTTTTCCAAAACACTGCCGAGAAGAATGCAGGAAAGCTCGGGGCAAATTGGGAAGGTCCTTACAAGATTACAAAAGTTGTTCGCCCAGGAGTCTACGAACTTGCGACGGTAGCTGACGAAGCAATTCCAAGATCATGGAATGCAATGCACCTGAAGAAGTATTATCACTAAGGCTACAACACGGTCAACATGAACTACGAGATGGCTTGATCTCTGCAAAGGGTACGTAGCAGCCCGTCCTCGGACGGCTTCAGCTGTCCCCCCTCCTAAAAAGGGGGGGGGGAGTGGGTACGTATACACATACCTCCATTTGACTCTATAATTTTAGCTCGTCTACCGTCTCTAGGAACATTTCCACTTCGGCCATTTTTCTGTTCGTTTTAAATCAGCTACTTATTTCATGTTCAACTTGGAATTCTAATTCGTTCATTGTCGCTTCAGCTAGTTTCTCATTCTTTTTAAATCAGCAACTTATTTCATTCATCACTTCGATTAGTTATCATCACTTGATCGCCTCGGACCTTTACGCGTCCTTATATTCACTTCGGCAAATTAAATCTCCAAACGCCTCGTCTCGTTGCTGGCCACAACGGGACAACAAATACAAAGTTCTCTAAACGGAATTTTACCACCTTTCCTAGGACGAGGGTGCAAGTTACATCCTCTATGGATAAAAATTAAGCGCGCTATACAAATTTCAGGCCAAAAACGTATCGGTCGCCACAGTTCATTATCGCACACGAGATTATAAGTCGAGACTACATCGCTTTCTCTAAAACCGAAGTAAACTCTTAAAACCCGGCAAAACACACTCACCCTCTCGGGAACGCCGGTCTACAGACATATCCCTAAGAGAACACTATATCCTCTTGAACTTTCGCCTTGTCAATGAGAAACCCTGAGCTAATGCCTCGGCAGGAAAAAATCGGCTCAAGCTAAACACTTTAGCTGCAACGCCCGACTCTTCCTCACGAACGATTAACCTCTCAAAGAGAATAATAACTTACTTGAAAACACATAACTTACTAGAAAAATACTTCAGCGCTAGTTGGAGACTCTTTCTCAGATCTCAATGGAAGTCCCGAAATCATCTTTGGTCAATAAAGAACAAAACGCCTCGTCGTTATACACGGCTCGGCATCATTAATGAAAACGCCTCGTCGTTAAACACGGCTCGGCATTACCAATGAAAGTTGCCTCGACATTATTGCTAAACACGGCTCAACGTCACCTAAAATGGAGACACTCCACGAATCAACTCCCAGCTTGGGATTTAGACTTAAACAGAATCCTTAGCAGCCTGTCTCTTAGCCCGGTCTTCTATCGATCTCACGTAAACATTTCGGCCAGGAAAGCAGTCGAGATCATTCTCAGCACAGCTCGACAAGCCAATCAACGACAATTTTTTCCAAACAAACAGTTTCCGTAAAAATTTCACAGATCGTCAAGTATAAACACATCAAATCCAAAAACGACTAAGGAAAAGATAAATATAACCATAAGCAAAATCAATAGTCAGGTGGATAAAGCCGTCCAGGCACCGGTTACACTAGAAGTTCGAGAAACAGATAAAATCATCCAAATCTTAAGTACAAAAACATATGAGACAGAAGATAGGGGAAAGAGGAGAGGATCAAACCGCGGACTGCGTTTCATGCTCGGCAAGGAGGTTCGAGAGGGCTGGCGTACTCGCATTCGATCCGGTCGGATCTACGACACCCAAGTTGGCCGATGTCTCTTCGAGCGGCTCGTTACCAAGGCTGGTGTCTACAGAGTCCGGCGACATGGGTGAGAAGACCAGCTCACCTTGGATCTCGGAGGCAATGCGCTCATACGCCTCGGCGTCGGCGTACTCGCTCTCCCAGCTCTTTAGCTTCGCCTCCTCATCATCGAGCGTTGGGCCGTCTGGTTTCCTCAGATCGGCGATCATCGCAAGGTTGCCCTTGATTTGCCCCAGCTCGTTCTCATCGGTTTTGGCCTTCTCGAGCTTGGCCAGACCTTCCTCCACCTTGGCAAGGCGTTCCTGAAACTTGGCTGTCAGCTCTCGCCTCGTTTCCTTCTTCGCGCGCTAGACCTTGGCGTTAAACAAGGCATCCTTGGCCTCGATACGCCTTTTGAGCAACGCCACCTCGGTGCTTTTGGCTCTTCTAGCTTCCTCGAGGCGAATGACCGCGGTGGAAACTTTGTCAACATCGGCGTGAAGAACTATCTTCTCCTCTTCTTGCCTCGACACCATGGTCATCGCCTCATCAAGCTTCCCCTTTGCCGCCGCAGTCTCGTTCCAACCTCGTCCAGGCGACGTTCGACCTTGGATAGGTCCGCCTCGTATTCAGCCATCAGCTCGTTGAAGGCCGCTACAAACTGCAAGGAATAATACGCGTTAAACACTTAGTCAAAATTTGATAAAACAAGGAGAGTAAGCAGAACATACCTTGGTACCGCGCTGTGCCATCGCGCCATACGACCTCGGTCTCCTCAGCTTCTCAGGAGGAGGAAGACGCGTGTTCGCGTTGTTAACACGTGCAAACATTATTGCCGAGGCGTCAGGGTCGTCGACGACCAGTTTGCGGGCAGCGGGATCACCGGGAGCCTGCTTGCGCTTCTTCTTGGACGGCTCGTCTTTTTGGATAGCTACGCCCTTCCCCTTATCAGCAGCCGAATGTTTTCGGCCAGAATCATGTTTCTGTAAAGCCAAAGTCGGGGGCCTCGATGACTTCGGAAGAGCCAGAATAGCCGAGTTTGAAGGAGTTTTACTCCGTGCCGCAGAGTCATCTTTGGGTGCCTCGGGAATAATTTCGCCCGGTTCCACCTCGGGCGCTGCTCCTTCCTCGGTCGCCGCGGCAACGTTTGCCTCCGCGGCTCGGACCGTGCCTTCACCTTCACGGCTCGGCGGATCGGCCTGAGGGACAGCCTCGGTCCCTGTTTGAGCCGCCTCGGCGGCTCGTCTCGCAGCCTCGGCAGCTCGTCTCGCAGCTTCTTCTTCTTCACGCCTTTTCTTATCTCTAAGAGTAATGATCACCATTTTCTCCCTTGTGTCAAATGAGGAATTTGAAGACGAAGAGCTAACAGGAACTCCGGCAAGAATGGCTCGTGCTCTTTTCACTCTCTCGAATGAAAAATGCTTCCTCCAATTAACTCTCCGAGCTGCAAGAGAATCTCGAACAACAAAGAGGTCATCGGGAATCGGGGAAAGAATGTTCCGAACTGCAAAAACAACACAAAAAAATCAGTAAGGGAAGATTATACGATAACAGTTCCGAGCCGAGGTAAAGCTTCGGATCTGCTACCAAGTGGTCCCCAAGCGGTCTTGGTTTTTTGAACGTAACCCTTGCTGACTGACGCCTTGTTCACCAAGACATAGAAGAAGCGCTCGGTCCAAAACTGATCCTTGCTTGGAAAACCACCTATGATCTGGCGGTTGGACTTGTTGGAGATATAAAATCTGTCTCCCTTCGGATCTTTTCTGATCTCCAACAAGTTTAGCAGGTGATTCAGTTCAATATCGAGCCCGCATTCAAAACTTCGAACCAGAATACCGATCATATGCCGCAGACCCCTCGGCGTGATCTGCCCGATTGAGATCCCATGTTTCCAGAGGTACTCAAGGATAACTCCGGAGATCGGGAACCAGAGAAAACAAAGCTCAAAGAACGCCTCGTACAGAGTAAAATGATTCTCAGGAAGTTTGTCGGCTCGGTAATTCTTCTCTGGAAGGACGAATTCTACTGCCTCGGATATCCCGAAACGACATCTCAACGCCTCGAGTGAGTTAGGCGAGGAGAGCGTAGAACCGGGCGGGTCAGGTTTTTGTCTTTTCACTCATTTCCCTCGCCCAGATGAAGAAGCACCTCGGGACGCCATGAGACGTTCTATTCACGCTTTGCCTCGAACAGATCAAAGAGAAACGCTTCCTCCTCGGCTTTCACTGCGGCATGATTAACCTCTTCGTCGAGAGCAGGACCCTGAGGGCGGCTCGTTGAAACCGACGGCTCATCATCTGGAGAGCGAGCGCCTGACGGACTGGAGCGATTCGACGCCTCGTCACCTTCAGATGCACGGTTGGAAGGGCTTGGCGAGATAGACGCCTCGGAAGATCCTGTTACACCTCCCACCTTGGCATCTACACGGCTCGGCTCGTAGTTAAAAAGCGAATCCAACGAATCGTCGGAACGGTTCGACATGATTTACAGCTTATACGGGAATTACAATATTACGCGGCGAACTTTCGTCGGAAAAAGATCTGGAGCGGCGGAGACCTCGGAACCCTAGCCGGAAAATAAATAAAACTAGAGAGAGAAAGAAGAGAGAAGGGAGAGCTACCTTTTAGTGAAAACGAATGGATCTGAAGATTATGAGGAGGAACGAAGGAGCTCACCTATTTATAGGAAAACCGAAGCGCGTGAAGTCCGCGTGGACCTTGGGATGGCGCAAAGGTGTTCGATGGGGGCGCGTGAAGTCCGCGGCGAATGCGTAACCTCTTGGCGCGTCCGGCACGCACGCCAACACTCAACTAACCGCCGCTCTGTCCAGATAAACCGAGCCCATTACACAGCTACGGTTAACTGAGAATATCTCATCAAACTGTGTGAACCGAACCATGCTTTGTCGATACGGCTCGGCATAACTTTCACAAAACGCCTCGTCGTTTATTCGGCTCGGCATAACTTTCACAAAACGCCTCGTCGTTTGTTCGGCTCGGCATAACTTTCACAAAACGCCTCGTCATTTATTCGGCTCGGCATAACTTTCACAAAACGCCTCGTCGTTTATTCGGCTCGGCATAACTTTCACAAAATGCCTCGTCGTTTATTCGGCTAGGCATAACTTTCACAAAACGTCTCGTCGTTTATTCGGCTTGGCATAACTTTCACAAGTCGCCTCGCGTACAATCCTTTTCCTAAGGATATATCACCAAACAGCACAGATTGCACCACGCCTCGTCGTTAACAAAACGGCTCGGCATTATCTTTATCTTGAAACGCCTCGTTGCTAAGCACAGCTCGGCGCTATCTTTGTCAAAATAGCCTCATCTTTTGAACGGCTCGACATTTTCCTTCAAGCAGTCTCGTCAAAAAAAAAAAACAGCTCGCTATTATGCTTCGTCGAAGAGCGGCTCGGCATTTTTATTACCAAAACACCTCATCTGGAATTGTTTCGCAACGGCCTAATTCGATGGTTTATCCCATGTCTAGGAGCAATGAACCTCATCACTCTCGTCTCCGAAACTGACGAGCTGGGGGGCTGATTGTTGGGGTCGGTTTCACCCCAAGCGGATAAAACCATCTCAAAAATGACTAAGTATTGGAGAAAACCGATTTGGCCGAGCTGCCCACCAAATATGGGCCGAGCTGTCCCACAAAACAAGTGGGCTGAGCTGTGCTCACCAAGACGAGTGGACCGAGCCGTGGAGAAGGATAGATGGGCCGAGCCATGGAGAAGGATAGATGGGCCGAGCCGTGAGAAGAACGAAGAGTGGGCCAAGCTGCGTGAGAGGAAGCATGGGCCGAGCCGCTTTCCTTTGTGTTGGGCCGAGCCGGTTTTTCCAGACGGGCCGAGCCGAAGTCTCGAAAGGCGAAAGCCCATAAAAACTCTAGGCAAGGCATTGTGACGGTGGCCGCACGAAGCGATAAGGAAATATTCCGAAAATCTCTCCCGAGATTCTCAGCTAGGCGGTTTAGAAAGTTAGTATAAATAGACAATGTATGCAATTCATTCTGTAACTTTTCACAACTCGAGAGCAATAAGACCTAAACACTTTCACAGCAAACAAAACCTTCTTTTGATCTTACTGTTCTTGCGATTACCCTAGAAATTTCGGATCCCTTAGTTTTTCCTTATAAATTTTTGGTTGTGCGAGTTTTGGCTCACACAATAATTTAGTTTAAAATTTTTTAAACTTTTATCAGTATTTGACTAATATGCCTTTTAATTAATAAATAAGAAATCAATAATAATGTTTTTTGAAAAAAAATCCGTAAATTAAAAATAAGAAAAGAAATTAATATTTATTAACCAGTTTAAAGAAATAATTAGATTTAAATATATTTTTAAAAAAATTCTACAAAATATAGAATGTGTATTCTACAATTGTACAATTTTGTATAATTATTTTCTAGATTTTATTCTACAATCTATTATACGTTGAATCAACATTCCACTACTTTTTCTAAATTCTATTCGGCTTATACAATACTTATTCTAGTAGTTGTTCAGCATTCTAGTAATTGTGAAATAGAAATTCTACACTTTCTTCTAGATTCTACTTTTATATATAGTAACTAGGGATTAACCCACACTATCAGCACGGAAAAAAATGATTTGACGTTCAACTAAGTAAAACAATTGTGTAAAAACTGTTATTTTATAAAATTAGAATTTTTTTTCATATTCAATTAATGATGATTACATTCTCTCGTAGTTTCTTTTCCATATATGCATTTTTTCGTACATAGATTAGAAATTTTTTTCCTGAAACAATTTTGGCTAAGATTACTATTATTTAAGACTTGCATATTTGGTCCACGAAATTTTATATGGTCCAATCAATTAGTGTATAAGGTATGGTTTATTTATGAAAATGACTATTCAAATAATAATATAAAAAACATTAATATGTGTAAACAATTAAAATAAATGATGGAGAAACTCATACTTTGGACACGACCGCCTTGAATCTTGCCATGTAATCTCGAAGCGGCTCATTTGGTCCTTGGGATAACGTCCATTGGTCAGCATCAGAACTTCCTTGGTCCATGAACATCGAATACTGCTTCAAGAACAAAGCGGAGAGCTGCTGGAAACTGTTGATCGAGTTGCGCTCTTGCCTTGAAAACCATTCCAGTGCGGCTCCCTTGAGATGTTCTACGAATAGCAAACAATAGCCGGCATCCTTCTCCTGCTCGGTCAGATTGGCAGCATTCTTTGTGAAGGCTCGTCCCATCGCTATGCAAAATGCTGTGATATGCGCCTTCGGATCGGTGGTGCCTTCGTAAAATGGGATTCTTACTTTCCCGGGCTCGAAAATCCTAGCCTCCGTGATTCTTGCCGTGAACATGGTTCTTTGGATTTCCTCGAGCATTCGATCGATCTCCAGCGCTGCACTTGTCATGTTATGCACTTAAGATTTCATGGCACGTATCTCTGCCACTGTCCGAGCCATTGAGGCTCGTAACTCTTCGATCTCATGGGTCTGCGCTTGGGTCATTCTCCTAGGTGGGCGAGGTTGCTCCAGGTCTTCCTCCTTGGCTCGTCTCTGTACTCCACTTGCTCGATCCATTGGAGATTTTCCTCTTTCTCGATTAGATTGTTATCGTGAGTTGGGTTGGTGACATCATCAGTTTGGATGCCGTTAAGTGCGGATGCGAGTTCTTCCTGACTAATCCGCCGAGCCGAGCTGTTTTGCTGCGGGTTTCTGGTTCCGTTGCTCTGTTGGGCATCCACATCGATCACGTCGTTCTCTTCCTCGTCACCTCGTCGTCTTGAATTCCGATAAAGCGGGGGCGGCTCGATCATGTTGACTCGGGTCGCTGCGGGAGTTTGTTCGCCGAGGGGACAAAACATTGGTGGAGCCATGGGATTCTTATGCCGCTACCGGATGCTCCTGCAGGTGTCGAGAAACCAAAGCGTCTCCTGACTCCATCTGTCGGATCGGAGATCCTGGCTCTCCAAGTCGGGTGTCGTCTTTCAGCCGTCATTGCGTCGAGTCTCTCCGTAATCGCTTTGTTCCTCTTATCCTGCTCGTCGATTTTCTTCATCAACGTGGCCATCATGTTTTGCATCTCCTCCAGGGCTTCCGTGGTTGTCATTGTCGTGCTTGATGGTGGAGCGTCCTTCTCCGCGCCGTTGTTGTTGTTGTCGTCTCCGGGTGCGTTGGTTGTCATGTTCTTTGGATCTCTAGCTCTTGACGATATCGAGTAAGAAAATTTCGAGTCCCCACAGACCGCGCCAAATTATGTGAGCCAAAACTCACGCAACCAAAAATTCGTTTAAGAAAACTTAAGGGATCCAAAATTTCTAGGGTTTATCACAAGAACTCAAATATCAAAAGAAGGTTTTATATTGCTGTAAAAGTATCTTATTGCTTAGGGTTGCAAAAGTTACCTAATGAATTCGATAAGGAATATTTCATTATCACTTCGTGCGGCCGCCAACACAGCACTTCGCCTAGGGTTTTTACGGGCCTACATCCTTTATGACCTTGGTTTGGCCCATCAAATAGAACCGGCCCGGCCCAACACGAAGAGAAGCGGCTCGGCTCATTCTTTCTCTCGCACAGCTCGGCCCACTTGTCGTCCTTCCCATGGGTCGGCCCATTGCCCCTTTTCACGGCTCGGCCCACTTGTCTTGTTGAACACGGCCCACTTTTCTCATGTGAGGGCTCGGCCCATGGTCGGCGAACAGCTGCTCTCTATCCTGCCAACTCAGTTTTTCTCCGGTACTTAATCATTCTCGAGATGGTTTAACCGTTTGGGATGGAAACCGACCCCAACACTTATCTCTTGAAGATGCTGTCTCCTGAAGATGCTGTCCCCTTTTATTGGTTATTGATATTGTCTTCTTTTCTTGGTCTTGATTAATGATGTTGTTTTCTTCTTCTTTTGTATGATTCTTTTGGCAACTTGATTGCTGATTTTGTTTCTTCTCATTTGAATATTTCTGCAGACTTTAGAGAATTGTTTCTTTTCTTTTTTCTTTATTTTCGGATTTGTTTCTTTTCTTTTTTCTTTATTTTCAGATTTTTTTTTTTTTTTACATTTTACGTTTTACATTTGACAATATATATTTATATACAAAAAGGGTATTGGGATAGTGGGCCGCCGTATGGGTCTTTGTTTGGTGAAGTGTCTTGTATAATATCGTCTTCGTCGGAGGAGAAAGATATTTGCATAGCGATGGCCTCTAAGATTTTTTTTTTCTCTTTTCTTTTGCTTTTCTTTGATCCTGAGGACGAAGTTGTTGACTCTGTTGGGCTGTTTGGCTTTTTAGGGGTGGAGTTTATTGGTTTTGTTTGAATAGGTGGTAGTGCTCGGGATATTGTTGTAACAGTTTGCTTAATTTGACTATGGGTTTGTATTCATTTTTCAAGGTTAGTCACGGAGCAACGGTCTAAATTGTACTTATCCCACCATTTTATTTGGTACTCTCAGACAAATGAGTATGGCATATCAAGTAGTAAAGGTAT